GGAATCCTAACCTCCAGTACCTCAGACTGTGATCATATTTGGAAATAAGGCCATTGTAGATGTAACTAGTTTAAAGTCATTAAGGTGGGTCCTAACTGAATATGACGAGTGTCCTTGTAAACAGGGACAACTTGGACACAGACACACACAGCATGAGAACGCCACGTGAAGATGAGGGCAGAGATGGGGGTGATACAACTAAAGACCCAACGAACGCCAAAAATCACCAGCAAACCCCAGAAGCTGGGAGACACCAGGAACAGATTCCCCACTCAGAGCCCTCACTAGGAACCAGCCCTGCCAACACCTTGATCTTGGACTTCTGGCCTCCAGAACTGTGAGGAACTGCAAATTTCTCTTGTTGAAGCCCCTGGGGTGTGGTATTGTGTTATGGCAGCCCCAGGAAACTATACACCCCCAACCCGCTTCCCTAAAAGTGTCCAGCTCTCACTGATCCCCCTGGGAGAACTCTGCCAATCCTCAGGCTCCAGTTAAACATCAGTCAGGGAAGGGTTTTGAGTGCGGGGACAAGGGTTGCGTTTAGACAGAGAGGGAAGGCGAGCTAGGCAGTTTGCATCGATGCATCTAGCTCCATCTCGATGGATGGTAAAGTGCCACCAAGAGCTGCCCCTTGTCCCCGGCCCGATGTATACGGCCCTTCAAGAAACCTACGTGGAGAAGGTGGAGGTACCTGGGCGGGACGCAGTCATCCTGGGCCTGGGAACTAAGGCCGAATTACTGCTAGACACCGTCCCCGCCTACTGCCCCCGCCCCCGGCCCGCGGAAATGCCTCCCTTCACGCCACCCCTGGCAAATTCCAAGTCACCGTTCAGGGCTGTGGCCGACTGCTAGTCTTCCCGCAATGTGTACCGTTACAGAATTATTGCGCGCCACGTGGTTAGCTCGGATTCCCAGCCTCCGGGGCAGCTGGGCGCGGTCACGTGACGGAATTCTGGCCAATAGGCTGTGAGCGCGGTGAAACGTGCGCTTCCTGAGCCTTGAAGCTGCGCGCCCCACCCCCCACCAGCGTCCTTCCCGTTCTCTCCTCCCTGCGGCCCGAGTGGGACTCGGGGGTGGGGCTGCGCAGCATTCCGGGACCTACCGGAGGCGAGATGGCAGAGCAACGAGGTAGCCCTGCTCAGCTTGGACGTGCACAAGAGGAGGAAATCAACTTCTGCTTTTGGGGGCCACTCTTGCTTTGGGTCTCGTTACAGGGAGCCAGGAGAGAGAAGTGCTTGAGAGCCAGGGTCTCTGGTTCAGCCCCAGGCCCACCCCTTCCCGTCAGCGTGACCTTGGGCAGATCACTTAATGTGTCTATAACTCAGGCTCTTCACCTGGAGAACGTGAGTAACAAGACCCATGCCTGCCTGCTGAGAGGACCCAATTAGTTCATACCGCGTGGTGCGGTTGGAATGATGCCTGTGGGTGTTGGCGGTTGCAGCGGCTGAATCTAAGTGATACCCGGCTTTCGTCCCTGTATCCCAGAGCTCCTCTAGAGGCAGTCTCTTGAGCTGAGTCGAACGGACATTAATACTCCTCATAGAAATACAGGGAGAGTTTTAATCAAGCTTTGTCTACAGTGGAAAAATTAAGTTGAAGGGTACCAAAGAGTGGTTGTTTTTTTTAACAGTGACTCTTCAAGGTTGCTGCACTTTATACGTAAACGAGTTAGAGAGAAGATGATTTTTTTTCATTAACGACTGCTTGTATTAAATTGTGTGAAATAATCTTCAGTGGGCTGATTTGTACAAACATCCTTCATGTATTTTCTCCTGATAATGAAACAAGGGGAAAGAGAAATCAGCGAACGCCTGACTTCCTGGCCTGCTTTCTATCAGTGTGTTATCTCCAGGGTACAGAATGCATTCCGGCTTGACGGGCTCAGGGGGAAGAAGGTGGCATTTCATCACCGCGGACCAGTTAGTCCAGGGAGCTGTGCCCTCGAAATGTGGGGATATCTTAGAATTCCATGATTGTAAACACATTTGCTCATCCCGCTCGATTTCAGTGAAATTCTCTCTTAATGCTCCTTTTAGGTCCCCAGTGATGGACCGACCCACCCATCGATAGACAGACATCTGATTGGAGAAAATGCCGGCAGGTTCCCTCTGAGTTCAACAGAACTTGATGCATAGATAGATAAACAAGTAAATAAATAACCCAGTTTTTAGTGGCAAGTTCACCTGCTGATCTGCATTTGACATTTTCTGTAGCTGGAACTCTGAACTACTTCTAGGACCTGTCTGTAATGAAGAAGAGACTCCAGGCTTGTTCTTGGCAGCCCAGGAGCCCCTCCTTCTGCCTGGAGAACCCTCCCTGCAGTGGGTGGCTGGCGCCATCCTCCCCCACGTCTGAGCCACCGCAGCCTCCCCCCAGGAAGCCTCCTGACTCCCCCAGGTTCACTCAGTGCCCTCCCCTGGGGCTCCCGCTGCCCTCCATGCACCCCATCAGCAGCACCCAAATCCAGGCCCGCTGTGGGTTGCCAGTGCCCAGGTGAGGGCCACCCAGGGAGGGGTCTTTCCAGGATCAGGGCACAGTGGAATCTCAGTCCCTGGTCTGTTTGGGGACTAGTGGTTTTCCAGCACTTAATTTCTGGCTTCTTAACTCTGAGCCCTTCCTCCCCTTCTCTTTACCAGGAGGTTGTGCCCAAGCCCCAACCACAACTGCTACAGGGCCGCTGGTGAAATATACGTCCTAGGCCTTTGGATGGGAAAGATTAGGAAGGGTGAGCCAGGGGTCCAGGCAAAGACAGTGCCTGCACTCTGGACCCTGCACAGCCAGTGCCCCCCACAAGCCTGATCCTCTCTCTGGTGCTCCCGATTCCCACCTGCCCCTCTTTGACTCTAACCTGGTCCCAGCCCCCTCTGCCTCCCCTCCCAACTGTGCCCCCACCTTCCCTGCCCAGCACTCACTGCAGGAGCTGCTCCTTGGCCAGGCTGAGGTTGCTGCAGTCCAGGGCTCTGCGCAGGTCACGCTGCTGGCGCTGCCGCTGGCGCTCCAACAGCAAGGTGGCGCGAGCCCTCTGAACCCTCCGCTGGTCCCAGTCCATGTCTCGCTGGCGCTCTTCTTCCTGGAGCCTCTGGAGAGGGGAGAGGTGGCTCACTCCTGCCTGTCCCCAGTAGAAGGGCCCCAGGGGATGGTCTATGGGAGCTGGCCTTCCATTTTACAGATGGAGAAACTGAGGTTCAGAGAAGGGCAGGAAATCAGAGGAGACCCCCCAAACCTGGCATCATCCTGGGTGGCCCAGCTGCTTCCTTAACTTGGGAGGTGTTGGCGGGCCCTCTGAGGCCTGAAGGGACAGCAGAGTCTCAGTTCCAACAGTGGCTCCCAGCCCAGGACTCGGTATGCAGGGCCCACAGATGTCAGGTCCCCCACATCTGGGATGCTACCAGTGGGCAGGTGCGCCCCCTGGTGGGACACTCAGATCCCCTGGTCACTTCTAGAATGTGCAGCCCCACCCTGGGCTCATGATCTCGGAGGTGAATTTCTGCATCTCAGCTCATTCCTCGCTGCCTTCCAGGCCCCTCTATTAAACCACTGAGCCCTAGGAGAGGAAACTGGATCAATGCAGAGAGTCACCCCCCAAAACGTGGGTTTTATCAGCCGTGCTGAGTGTGAACGGCTTTATCAGCTCACCCTCCTAGTGGCGAAAGGAAAGGAAGAAGAGGGCCGGGCCCGAGGACGAGCCTCCTTCCCACCCGCGGGTTTTAGGGCAGAGCCTCCTCCCACCAGATGAGCGGGGTAGAGTGTCCGATGGCCCTTGGGGCCTGGTTGAGTCGGCCACCAGGAGCAGATGGGCTGGCAGAGGCCCCAGCCCCCCACGCAGGGACCAAAAGGCAGGTGGTGACAGGCAAGTCACTTGGCCCCTCAGAAGCTCAGTTTCCTCACCTGCAAAATGAGGCTACTTACAGGTGTCCTGGGTTGTGACCCAAGAGGCTCTTGGCAAGAATAGGGAATGATATGGGGGCACACTTGCCCCAGACCAAAAGACAGACTGCTCTTAGCACGGTCTCAACTTTCCAAATTATGTAAGTGCGCAGAAGAGGAGGCGGGAGGAAAGGGCACCGAAGACGGGAGAGTACTGAGTGGAGTGGGTTTTTGTTTTGTTTTTGTTTTTTGCCCCTCTGTGCTTTTCTGTCTTCTTAATTTTCTATAAAGATTGAAATGCAGGCATAAATGCCGCTTTCAGGACAGGTGGCTGACCTTCCTGGCCAAGCAGTCAGGCTGGGTGGCCGGCGTGAAGGGCAGGCTCTTCCCACTGGGCTGCTGCCCTGCCTCACCCCACACTGCCCTCCACTCTCACGAACAGAATGTTCCCCCCGACACAGTTAGCGCCTCCGGGCCTGGAGGTGAGCGGGCAGATGAGCTGCCCCACCTGCTCCTTCCTTCCTTCCTGGTCCAGGCCATTCTCCCACTCGCCTCAACCCCTCCCTCCGGGCCTGCCTGCTTGGAAACTCACACTGACCATGCATCACACTGGCTTGGTGGTCCACCTGCTGACCCCGGAGCCAGCCCCCGCCCATCCTTTGCAGGTCTGAGAACTTCTCCAAATCTCTCCC